TCATCAGGGCGATGAGTATGAAGATTTCTGTCTTCTGGGTTGTTGCGCTGTGTAGTATGGTCGATGTTAACCAACGTTTCAGAGGTCATACTGCCTCCGTCATCAGGGCGATGAGTATGAAGATTTCTGTCTTCTGGGTTGTTGCGCTGTGTAGTCTGGTCAATGTCCACCAACGTTTCAGAGGTCATACTGCCTCCGACATCAGGGCGATTCTGAACAATGCCTCAACTCATTCATTGTTTACAGGTTGACAATGTCAGTGCAGTAGTTGAAGGATGTGTGAAGGACCTTAATTCCTCTCTAATGCAAACTGAACAAAGCTGCCCACAGGGTTATCAGTTTAAATCCGATCGTGATGACTGGACGGTTGTAACTGAGGTAAATTAAAACTAATGGTACCTACTAACCTAGATATGGCACACTGACAACAGGATGAACAAAACTAGGTTCATCCAACATAATTTGCTGACTTTTATTTTCTGAGTACAAAGAAAGACAGTAATAATTGTTTTCTTTCTCAGTGGCAGCTGGTATGTGAACGGCGTTTCCTACGCCCCTTGTTAGCCACAATATACTTTTGTGGTGTAACGGTGGGTGCTGTCGTATTTGGTATCTTGGCTGATCAGTATGGGAGGCGTCCAGTGGTTCTGATCTGTCTTTATGCTCAGGGGCTAGTGGGTGTCTGTTTGTATTTTGTACAGTCTCTTGCAGCTTTCATGGCTCTCCGTTGTATTCAGGGATTCTTTATACAGGTAAGGAAATTATATTATTATATGCCTTTTTGATATCAGTAAAAGCCAAACATGTGTCTTTGCCAAATTTCCATTTTTTTCTAATATCTGTATTTAAATGTGTTTCTGGAGGAGGTTTGACACAGTGCTTGAAAATTGGGCAGCAATGAGAAAAATAATTAAAAGTGTTTGTAATATTTAATGTCATGTACTTACTTGAAATATTCAGAGCCTTCAGTATGGCTATGCTTATAAGATGCATTGATATGCAATTCGAAAACAGAATGGCTGCCTCAGAATTAGTGCTTACACAAGGTTCTAGTGAGAGATAACAAATGAATGCTATCTTAAACATACACAAATTTTTGTAGGGTTTCTAAGTGTATCATGGACTGACTGCGGTAAATAAACACTTTGATGAGTGCCAGAATATTGCAGTGAAAGGGACCAGTTCTTTTCTCTTTATTGTACATAATAATGTTCTTGTGTCATTTGATGCTGTTTAATCCCTATAGTTGAATCAGTAATTAACCAGAAATCTAAACAGAACTTATTCATGTAATCTCTTAATTTTCTAGTAAATGTCATTGTGATTTGAAGAAAATCATCAAATGCAGGTAGCTGAATCTGTTTCATTTTGACCAAAATAACTGTGTGATTTCTTTACCAGGGTTTACAGGGCACGACATATACTCTCATGGTCGAATTGTTTCCCCAAAAGTTCCGTACTGCAGTTGGTGTTGTGCTTGAGTTGTATTGGGCAGTTGGATTGATTTATCTTGCTGGGGCATCATACTATGTACCAGGCTGGCGGTCACTGGAACTGATACTATCCATACCCACAGCAGTGACTTTGCTGTATGTCTGGTAAGTACCTTCCCTCTTGCATATGTAGCACAGTACTAGAAACCTTAGTTAGAGTTGTTGCTTTCTGAGCTCACAGTGGTTCACAGGTAAAAGTAAAGCTACCCCACTACATGCCATTTAGGCACTTGACATTAGCACTAGTTAGAGGTGAGTGGTCAGCATCATGTCACAGCTGTGCTTTATCCCAGGGAAAGGACCCATGGTACCCACTGGATAGGTTGTGTTGGCCCCAGAGGCTGGAAGAAAAATTCTTTGTTCCTGCTGGACAGGTCAGACTCCACGCATGTAGTCCGTAGTCAGACAGCTGCCCCTCACAGGACCTTTAAAATATGAAGTAGATGTCTTAACCATTGTACTGTGATATTTTGTAATATCATTGGCAAGTTTTCTCTCATTTAATATAACGTTTCTATAGTCCCAGTATTATTACTCATTGTTTAAACTTCCTTTCTTTTCTCACTTTGATTTCTAAATCTTTGCAGTAAATTATTATTTTACTGCATATGGCTTCTAAAACTGTTAAAGACATGGTTAATTTTCTAATCAAATACTGTGGATTTCCTGTTTCAAACTGTTTTTGTTATAACTACAGCTGAAGATATTATGAATATATTCCATTTCAGTGACATGTTATTTTTATTATTGTCTTCATTCTAAATAAATATAGGTTACAATAATAGTCGACGAGAGCTTTGAACCTTTGCAGTAACACAGTGCATCTTTTCTTATCTACCAGCTTTGTTCCTGAGTCTGCACGTTGGCTGGCTCTCCATGGCAGAGCAGAAGCGCAGAAAACATGGAAAAGAATTATACTTTTTAAGAAAAGTGATAAATCGAATGACACAAATTCTATAAAGAGTAAGAGTAATGAATTTAAATGTACTGGATGTGATATTGGCTTTCAGAACAAGGTTACAAGCAGGCAATATATCGTAAATAATGTCATGATACAGACTGGAAGTGGCAATGCTGACTCTGGGTATGCAGACACTGATATCCAATTGCGATCTGATCGAGGAGAAGATTGCGAGGGATTGATGAAACAAGATATGGTGGAAGATAAACTGAAAGGAAAAGCAGAAGATTATGCAAGGTGGCAAGATGTCTTTTCAGTTGACGCTGAACATCTGGCAATAATGCAGGATCCCATAAACAGTGTGGGAAACAGAAGTTCTTATTATACATGTAAGCAAGGTAATGGAGATTGTGATAAGTCACAGGACACCTGTTATTTGAAGGCTTCTGATTGTAGCGCTACAGAAGTCAGCCACTTACTGAGTTGTAAAATAACAAATGATTGTAGCGAAACCATAAATGGTGCATACAGAACAGACAACAACAAAAAGCTGGAACTGATTGAAGGTGATGAAGTAGCTGATGTTTCTTTTATGAACACCTTTACCGGTAATCAAAACAGTAACAGCAGTGTGATGAAAGGTGATTATGATGAAGAATTTAAAACTGAAAAGTCATACAAAAAAAGTAATGAGATAATGGAAGGATGTTCACTACACGTAACAAACTCTAATAATAATAATATATATTTCCTTGTCTCTTTGGGATTAAAAAGGAAATTAATGATACACACAAAATTATCAAACATGATTCATTTGGTATATCTAGAAATAGAAATAAAAGTGATCATTTAAATTTTACAGGGAAACAGAATGCACAAGAACTGAAGGATGGTGAAGGGGATTCCATAGGTGTGCAGTGTATGTCTGGAACAGCCAGTGAAACAAAATTGCAATGTGAGGGACATCAAGAGGTGTGCATAAAAAAAGAGACATTAGCTGTTGATGATAACAGAATGAATGCTGTTCTGCCAAGGAGCACATGTAAAATGATTTTAGTGTCAGGAGAAGGATACAGGGCAGTCGGTGGAACTGAAATAGAAAGAAACGGTATTGTGACAGATGACAGTGAAACTATCAGTGTCACTCTGAGCAAAGGAGCTGTCAGAATGAACACTGGTGGTACAGTTGTGGGCCAAGATGGTGGAGTGATCTGTAGTGACATGCCAAAGACATGTAATATTATAGAAAATAATACTGCGACCGATACACCCAAGATGACTGAAACAGCAGCAAAACGAACTGGTTTCTTTGAGCTTTTTAGAAGTGCTGTTCTCCGAAAATACAATCTAATCATGGTGTTAGTGTGGTAAGTTACCAAATTTTTAAAAGTATAAGGGAATATTTTCACAGAATAGACTTATTCTTGACATGGTTGAAAATAATTGAAATGTTGATAAGGCTTCCTGATCCTACATGTTAATGTCACTGAGTGATGATGCATGAGAAAGGAAAAAATAATAATGATGGTCTCCTTTATTCACAGTTTTGGAAGATAAATGAAGGAGACTTTGTTAACATATTTTTTCTCATTGATTGAAATATATTGGTTAATACCACATACATTGCATTAGTATTCAGTTTTCTTAAATTTTGATAGGCTACATTTTATGTCTTTAAACCAAAACAATGTGACATGGATGACTATTTCTTTCAGTCAGACATTTTCATTAATCAGAAAAGCATTAAACCACGTAATTATGTTTTTAATTTTTTCTTTTATTTTTCATATTATGTAAAACAGATTTTTGTTTCTGTCCTGTTGCTTCCATATTTGGCTTGTGCTGCATGTCAACAACAGATAGAACCCTCTGTATGTGAATTAGTGGAAAGGAGGCCATGTATTTTGTGAGGGAGATAAGAAATTTTGAAAACCTATTTAAGATAGGAGGTCTCTTGAGACATCTAAGCATAGATGGAAGAATAATATTAAAATGGATCATAATCAGAGTGTCATTGTGTGAACTTGGTTTCTTATGACTCGGGATAGGATGAGCTTTTGTGAATATTCTGTAAAAGCAGGGAATTTTGTAAATGTTTAGGTTTGGCCACCATAATAGTTTGTTTCAAAGCTGCTCTGTCTTCAGTTATATTATTATGCACACTTGATTATATTGTCTAATCACAGCTTTCTGCTATCATCAAGTGGTGGCAAAAACTGGCTAATAACCCACTCCACTGAAGGAAACTTTTTTATGTTGAACTAATGAAAATAAGTCAGGCACTTCGACAATTTACAACAGTTACTCATTTGTATCATGCAATGTAATTTTTAAGCTCATGTAAGTTGGTCACAAAATATTACTACTACTGCCAAATTTACTTTATGTAATAATTTTGAAAAGAGGTTTCTGTTTGTATATATAGTTATGTGTCTATTTTCTCTGTTACTGATCTGTGATGTTGAATTTTCATAGGTTTAGTGACTCACTATTGTATTATGGCATCATATTTCATCTCCCTGATCTAAATGGTGAAAGGCATATGAATTTTTTGCTGGGTGCTGTTGTGGAAATCTTGTCATATATTTTGGCATACATCATACTGTCTCGATTTGGACGTCGATTACCACTGGCTAGTTTCCTGCTCATAGGTGGTATCATCTGTGTGTTAGTTGGTGCAGTCAGTGTGGTACCAGAAAAAGATGCCTATTGGGTTGGTAAGGAAATATTTCTTATTGCAGTTACAAGAGTCTTTTATTACAATTTTTACAGACTATTTGAAAAAACCATCGACCCATAAATTTCGTGTTGTCATATAACTTGCATGCGTGGATTGAATAATTCAATAAATTTTGCTTATGAAGTGGAATATGGCAGAGGTTCATTAGAAAGTGTGTGCCATTGCATGGTTTGGTGTGGCATTTAAAACCATTGAGATTTTACCACCTTTCACAATCAAGTGGTTAGCAATTCTTCTGCTTATGTGGGTGATACCAAGTTAATATTTTGGTATCTGAAGACCAGCTATCCTGACAGGTTTATCCTGGCTTCCGTCAGTCCCCCACGGAAATGCTGAGACTGCTTTAAATTAGGCCACCAATTAACTGTTTCCTTCCTTCCTTCCTTCCTTCCTTCCTTCCTTCCTTCCTTCCTTCTTCATTAATCATCTTATAATTTTATGCTATATATTCTGAGATACTGGTCACATTGTTAAATAAACCATAAAAAACATACAAATGAAAGATCTTGAATTAAATTAAATATATTTTATAGTTGCAGTCAACAGATGTTAGATCTTGGGTAAGCAAGAATTCATTTTATTTGGTAAAGCATAATGTCCCCTTGGATTCTTATTTCCAGGTCAAACTCAGACAGCAATGGCCATAATAGGTAAAGGTGTTGTAGTAAGTGGCTTTTGCACCATGTTCCTATATACATCTGAGCTATTTCCAACAGTATTAAGAGGTGTAGCTATTGGCCACTGCGGTTTCTGGGGAAGGGTGGGAAGTCTCCTAGCTCCACAGCTGCTGTTTCTGGTAAGTTTAAAAATGAACACAGTCGCCAGAGTGTCCTGCGCTGTAGCCGCGCTGTCTGAGGCATCATGCTTCGGACCGGCAATACGGAATGCGCGCTGGTTTGAGTCTCAGGGGAGAAGAAATTTTCTTATGAGCTTTCGACCAGTGTATGGAACCGGTGCCAACCCAGCATCGTGAGGAAATTGGGGAGCTACAATGAGTAGCATAATCCGGTCAGGAAAGCTAGCAGTGGCTGGGGGTTCGTCGTGCTGACCACATGTCATTCTATATCTGGTTGGATTATCGTTCACCTCTGCTTAGGCATGTGAACGTGAGGCCAGCAGTCAAGCTAGTCGGCTTTGGCTCTCTGGAGCTGTTACACCACGGATTTTAATTTACAGTCACCGGAGTAGAAAGTATAGAGACCCAATCTCTTTCTGAAATGATACTCTAATACTTGGGAAATTCCTTCCATTATTATTAAATAATTCATCAAGATGACTAATAATTATAATAATAGATTAAACAGTAACTTTATGTTAATTAATTAATATAAAAAATCCTCTTAATGATGGTTTTATGCCAGTGTTAGGTAAAGTGGTATAAGTTCTAAACGTTCACAAAATCAAAGAACAGTTTTTGGGAAGTTCTCACAAATTATGTTTACTGATTTTTCAAAAAACTCAAAAAAATATTATTGTTCAATTACGCATGAAATTAAGGTTCAAGTGGTCATTTTCATAAATTACAGATAATATGAAATATAGGTTGTAAAGTAGCAGTCAAACTTCAATAATAATTTTTGGACTTACCCTTTGCCATGTCACCAGCAAGAGAAATTACTACTGTAATGAAAATATGTTTTATATATGCTCATTATAATTAATTTTACCATTTCTGTAGGGTGAATACACACTGCCAGCTGTACCACTGGTTATAATGGGTATTTTGGGGATGCTGGCAGGATTGTCAGTACTTGCCCTGCCTGAGACCTTAGGACGACAATTGCCTGACACAGTGGAGGAAGTTGAAATGTGGATCAGAAATAGGCACCAGCTGTAGAAACTGCTTTTACACAGGTGAACTTCAGATGGCAATAACATTATCTCAGTATCAGTTTTGGTTTTTAAAGTGCCATTTTTTTAATAAAAGACAACTTACATAAGGTGATCAAGAAAATTATGGTTTGATTATAGTGACATCTATTACTACCAGGAACAATAATGCAACTCTCTTCTTCCCGTGAAACTATTTAGATATGGAGTTGCAGAGATCTTTACTTTCACATATCTGTCAAGAGACATCTACTGTATATCTGTGGGTTTTTACTTTGTTCCCATTAGGAATATTGTTAATCCCATCCTGCCCACTTCAGACTAGTTCACGTTCTCACATTCAGTTTCAAAAAATCAATTTTAATATTATCCTCCTATCTCTTTATCATTCTCCAAATGATTCTAAGAGGTTTTCCCCACAAGACTTCCTGGCATTGCAACTCAGAAGGCCACAATCAATGTCTTCTTCAACATGATAACTTCATCTCTCAGATTACATTTCTTGGATTAATCCTAATTAATCTATGCCCTTCTGAGCATGTTTATTAAGTCTTCAGCTAAAATGTTAGGTCTCTCTGCAAGTTCACATAATGTTATAATCAAGAGTATCCAACATTACACTAATTGTGGGTTTATTTTCACCACAACATGATGTGTTTTCAGATAGTGAACAAGCAGATGTCTTCCAGTTGTGGACAACAGCTGTGAAAAGAAGAATTCATTGAGATAAAAATAATACACTTTTATAATTGGAATTTTTTATAATGTTCATTTAGTGTAGTCTCATATCTGCTTACATGGTCTGTGGTGATTAATGTTCACAAATAAATTGTTTAGGTATATGAATACTGTGCATTTCACATTCTACTATGCAATTTTATTGTCCTTATGAAAGATTTTGTTAACTGATATAAATGCTCTCGAATTAACATTACTTGCTATTCACATTTTAATTCACATAGTTAAAGAAAAGTAAGCATTAATAACTATTCCTTTTGAACTATTGAAATCATTTGGTACCGCGCATTAGCTCAGTAGATAACTGTTGATGCGTCTTTCCGAAAAATTCCAGGAACGGGGAAAAACATGAAAAATTTCGTTTGTTTAATTTAGTTTTCCCTCCATAAAAAAATCGATCAGTGGACGTAATCCGTCATCAATACCAATGACATCATCAGGGCGGGAACATGACGTACTGACGCATGCGCAGACAATTATGAGTAATGGCGTCGTCATCGTCCCACATTATGATGTTGCGCATCGATCACGGTGTAGCAAATTGTAGGAATGAAAAGTGTATTCTTTTGGCGCTTACAAAAATTCCGAAGGTATTCTTCAGTGGTGTCAGCAGGGCAACCATGGGAATAACAAATGTAACAACAGTATGAAGGGCAACAGTGATTCAAGGTCATTGTTGCAATGTACTCCAAGGTCATTTTCGTTAGTATAATCCAAGCCCACCGTAACAATGTGAAGAAAAAAATGGACTATACCGTAAGGTGTTCTTCGTTTACGCTAGACATTAAAACACTTGAAGTACATCTTTTAGTCTCCTGAGATGGAACAGACCAATGACAGATTTAATGAAAATCCGTCCAGCCATGCATTCAGACACCCTATCATGAAGGCCGATGACGTCATCACGAATGCGGCTAATGGCGTCAACATTGTCCCACCTCACGATTTTGAGTATCTGTCACGTTAATATTACCAGTTGTATTAGTTCAAAGAGCACTGCTGTGGACTACACTTTAATGGCGTAATTACCGTACCAAATTTGATGAAAATATTTTAACCCATTCCCGATACAGTCGTTCGTAAGACCACCGATAGATAGCAGTACCTCTTAGGCTGAAAGATGTGACAGACAGACAAAAAATTCTATGAAGGAAATCTGAAAAAAGCTATTAAAATTACCACGCTGATTTTTGCCAAAAGAAAAGGTCCATTAAGATGAAAATACAACGGGCTTTTGAGATTGTTACAACTTTATACTTCATCTGAGATACGACCAAAAACAATACAATAAGAAACATGGAAAGTGAGATTTTTAGAAACAGTAGGCTAAATATTAATCGTATTCAAGTGTGATACATTTCTAACCCAACAGATGTCTGATAGGAACAGGGTGTGACAGAAGTGGCTTCATGCTTTTTGCGCACGTATGTTGCTCGTCGGTTTTCTGAAGCTCAGTGGTGAAAGTAGCTGGAATCACATATCCGCATTGTAAATGCTATTATGATGTACTTAAAGCTTTATCAGGTGATATATTGGTGCCTTTATTGCTAGTTTTTCCCCATTCGCCTTCCTTTGTATAGTTTTCATAAAAAGACACTTTCGGAGTTACACTGCTTTATTGTTATTCCCACTGTAATGCTTAAGTTTCATGTGTAAAAACGCAAAAATTTTCGTAAATGATTCCACGAACTTACAGCGAGTACATTTAATTATGTTGAAGTGTAGTTTTATGTCAATGATTTTGGTTATGTCATTGATAACCTACCAATAGGTTATGTTACGGAGTTTGTATCAGATTGTAATCTCAGTAACTGTGGATATGACAAAAGGGGGATACAATTGCATATGCAGTTTAGAGTTTTACAAACTATATAGATGTTGAGGCAACGGCAAAAGGGAGGTCTGCGATAGGTATTAGAACTCTAACTACATTCGAAGAAGTTTGGTTTCAAGGTTGGAAAAGTTAGGTTATGAGTTTCATTTAACTACATTAATAGAGAGAAGGATTGCATACCATGTCTTTTTGCAAATTTTTATCGAATTCAAAAATATTTCCTGTACGTCTTCATAATTTATGCCAAGAGTACCAAGTTACACAATGAAAGCTGGGTTAGAAATTATATATACTGATAAAAAAAGAATTGTATTTGCATTGTAACATGTGGAGTGGAAGGAAGAAAAAAATTCTTACATCAAGTCATTTTGAGAATTTGATATTAAATCTGTTTTAGAAACCTCACTGATGTTATATAGTTATAGAAAGGTGGATAGCATGTCATGGATAATCGATGCATGTGTCTGTAGGGAGAAACAGTTAAATTCAATTTAGTATGCCCTTTAAACTCACTTGGTGATAAAAGTTGTTTATTTTCCGTTTCATATGTTTAAACTTTGTTGCCTGATAGGCCTATGTAGAATCATTGCTGTAATTGAACTAAAGAGTTGTTTCACAGTTACATAGAAGCTTTATTTGACACATAGTATAGCTGTTTAGATATGCATGACATGACATTTTATTGTGTCATATTATTTTACATGTTTTTTTGTTGTTATCTTTTTAAGATTGCTCTGTGACTAGTGGGAACTGAGACATCCTTCAGTGTACAGAGGAAGATTGCATTCATACATGGTTGATGGGCAAGAAGCGTGCTCTTCATAGGCTTTCTATATCCAGTAAATGAAGAGTACTATTACTTCACAGAAATAATGGTTTTCAGTAGAATGTTTTTAGACAGATGGTATGTAGCATTGTAAATAAATTATCCAGTGAAGTGTACTGGAAGATCAGATATAATGGATACTGGAATTTTTCATTTAGCTGAAAAGATGATTGCTGCAAGTGGCGAAATACAAGAGGAATATGATGTGCAATTAGTTAGGAAAGTTATTAAGCTTACTATAAAACATAAGGAACTAGTTAATAAACTTCTTGATACTAGTGATCAGTGTAAAGATATAATTAATGTAGTTTTGTCTTCAACAAACACCATATTAGATTTAATGCAGAAAATAATAAAATCCAACACAGAAGAACTTAATTTACTGTTGAAAATAACAGAACTTACTAACAAAGAATGGGAGTTATTAAGAAAATTTGTATATCTTTGTAATGAAGACAGATATTTTGTTTGTAAATTTATGGGCTGGTACCTGAATGGTGAGGGTTTTGGTTTCCCTTGTTCATGTTCAACATTAAGAGAAGATGACTGCCTTCATCCAACAGAAGGACCAGTAAGGTTACGACATAACCTGTCAAGAAAGAAAACTAACAAAACTGTCTCCTGTGAAGAAACAAAAAATGACAATCCTGTTATTGCAGTTGGTGAAAATCTGGGGATAGTATCAAGGGACTTAAATGAGGAAGTTGATGCTCAGATGTCTGGAAAGGAAGACAGTATCAATACATCAAAGATGCATGTTTCTTCTTTGATTATAAAAAATAAAATAAACTCAGTATCAGTAAAAAGTTGTTGTGTTAAACTGGAACCTCTTTCCTTGAAGACTGCAGTGGAAAAAGAAAAAACAGACCCTGATAACAGTACACAAGAAAAGGTGTCATTTCCGTCTCATCCTGAAAATGTGGAATTGAACAGTGGAAATCTGACTGCAGTATCAGATGATAAACCAAGGAAAGTTCCTGCTCATCTGGCAGTAAAGGAGGCCATGAAAATCACAGATGCCCACAATTCTTTTTTGACAGTAGAAGACAGTACAAAATCAGTATCGGAGAAACGCTGTGTAGTTCAACCAGAAATTGAAAGCGAGTGTGATAAATCAAATGATCATAAACAGGAATGTCTTTCTACACAGAAAAAATTGAGGAAATGTAAAATAACAGCCATTGATAACAGTATGAAAAAGGAGACCTCAGTATCTTCAGAAAATGTGGAATCAAGCTTTGTAAATCTGAACATAATGTCAGAGGATGAAACTGAGAAAGGTGATGCTCATCTGTCTGGAAAGGAAAACAAGAAAATTATTTCAAAGACATGTAATTCTCGTGTGACAACAAGAAAAAATTCATGCTCAGTACCAGAGAAAGAGTACTCTGTTCAGGCAGAAACTGAAAATGAGTGTGTAAGGTCAAATAATGAACAGGAATGCATTCCTTTACAGTCAAAATTGAGAAGTTGTAAAAGAGCTGTCCTTGATAACAGAACAACAGATGATATTTCACTTCTACATAACACGAAAGTGAGCAACAAAGCAAGGATTTGCCAGGAAGTAAAGCACAATGATGTAAACTGTTATATTCCTTTTGAAAGTGAGTGTGTTGAATTGAATGACTATGGACAGGAATATCTTTCTCCTCAGACAGAATTGAGGGAACGTAAAACAACAGTCACTGGTAACAGCACGGAAAAAGAGGTTTTCTTTTCTTCAGAAAATGTAAAGACAAACTGTGAAAGTCTGAAAATAACTTCAGAGGACAAATTAGAGAAAACTGATGCTCATCTTTCTGGAAAGAAGAACAAGAAAAAAATCTCAAATACATGTAAATCTTTTGTGACAAGAAAAAATGCAAACTCATTATCAGAGAAAAAGTGTTCTGTTCAGGCAGAAATTGAAAATGAAAGTGTGAGATCAGATAGTGAACAGGAAACCATTCAGTCAAAATTGAGAAGTCGTAAAAAAGTAACCCTTGATAATGAAACAAAAAAATGTATTTCGGTTCCTCTGCAAGATATGAAAGTGAACAACAAAGCAGAGACTTGCCAAGAAATAAAGCACAGTGATGTAAGCTGTTATGATACTTTTGAAAGTAAATGCAGAGGGGAATGGAGTGCAATTATGGGCAGTTCAATAACAGAAGAAACTGATGAATCTCCATCCAATTACAAAATTTTTGGGCCAACAGATAAGGTAATTTAGACTGTAGATAATTTTTCAAGTAAGACTAATATATGTGATTATAAGCTGTAATGTCAGCTCGTAATTCAGTTATATAATTCCATAAGTTTAGCTTTTATGCAAATGGAGATGGTTTTATTCACTAAAATTTTCCAGATGTCTTTGCAAAATAAAAACAAGTATAAATTTGACTTAGTGCAACTACTGTACTTGGTTCTGGTTTTCTGTTATTTATGCAGTCGAGTCTAAAATATCATGGGAGAATTCCTGTTTGGACCTTCAGTAATGTTAAACATAAGGTAATGTAATTTAGGATATGCAATTTTAGGAATGTGTACATGAATCATTAGTGACTGAATCTGCGTGCAGATTTAGTGCTGCATATGTACAAATTTAATGGAGCTGGAACCTTATAGTTTTAGTGTCAGTGGATGAGTACACATAATTCAGACAGTGAAACTGTTCGAACATAAGAGAAGTAGAAATCAGAGCTGTATGCAGTTTTATTTATTATATTATTGTAATTCACCACATGTTTGATACATGTCTTTCTTATTAATTTGTGGATGTAATTAGGTCACATGAAATAAGGTAAATTATTTATGTTTCTTTTAGGTAAAATCAGATGTGGATATAAAATATAACAGAATTAAATTATGTCCAAGTTTGAAGGAAATGGAATTTGTTACACACGGAATAAACACGTTTACCATAGCAACATCAATGCCCCGGTTTCTGCGTGCAGTTGAGAAGAAGGAAACTTCTCCTGTTCTGGTAAAGAAGACACATCACTTCTTTACTGAGGCCAGAGCTACCTACTCATCACTGGAAAAATACTTGGCACGGGTGATAATAATTGTGTACTATTCCAGCTGATATTTTTGAAACTACATGAAACATTCATTTATTAGCATGAAATTTCTGCATTTTGACAAATATTCTCTGCAGAAATCTGTAACACCACATAAAATATTTCATATTTTAGTTTATTAATTGTGGTGTAATGGTAATATGTTTATCACTGAAAATTTGGAAGATATTCTATTTATTGTTACTATTATAATTATCTGTTGTAAATATTTGTTAAACCATCCTCTGAGTTCTGGCACCATATAGACTCGTTGGTAGATGCCAGCATTTTGGAAAAACGTTGGCCTCTACTTATGAGTAAACATGGCACCAAAATTCAGAAGAATATCATCTTCATATTATGTTGGCTGTCTTTAGTAATTACTGCAATAGGCTGACCTTTAACCTGTTAGGCATTAAACTCTGAAAATAAGTAGGCAAGAAGATTGATTTTAATTGCAGTTGAAACAGAATGAGAAGACCAAGACGCATGACAAATTGTCAAAATGTGCCTTTAAAATGCTGCAGTGCATGCTGAGACTGCAGCAGAGTATTTCACAGAGGCAAGTCAAGGGAGGAGTGAATATGAACTTGATTATCACAGATATCATACATGTGATGGATATGGTAGCAGAAATCGTCATGGTTGCCAATGAGAAGGTACTGTTTGCATGATTACCTGCATTGATAAAGTAGGTGAGTTAGCTCAATGCAAGTCACTTTTGACTGCACCCAGGGAGACATCTAAGTAGTAATGTAATCATTTATGTTTAACTGGGATACAGTAATTTTCTGTCAGATGACTCTCATAGCAACTGGCAGGGGTCCACATTTAGAAGTCCAACGGAATTGATTTGTAGTAGTACCTAGATGAAGGACATGATTGAGTCATGACAGTAACAAACACAGTGCAATAGAAGCATACTTACTCTACTGGTTGAATAATGGTTTGTTTTCAAGGGGGAGAAACACCAGTCTTTAGTATTTATACAGTGACATCCTTTGATAGGTTTAAGCTGGAAAT